GCCTCAACTTCCTGTTATCCGGCCATGAGTGAAAAAAAATGTCCCCAAAGTATTTGAGCTAATCCACAAATGTTTTCTTCTTCTTTTATGTACACACACAAAGGATTCAGTACTGCCCACAATCAAACAGACAGTGTGTGTACAATGAAACATATATGTGACATGTTTGTAATGATAAGTTACATTCCCTAAAAAAATACTTAGAAATTGAGGTTAATCAACAGGTGTAATTAACAAATTAATATTAGGACAAAAAAAACAACTTGTTTGATATCTATCAGACCATTTACATTTTTGATCAAACTTGTTGTCTGTTGATCCGTTTTGGCTGTTACTGTCTTTAAATGTGCAACTTTTAGATTTGAACAACTTTTGATCATCCAGCTCTTCTTGCTATACATACACCAAGTTTGAGGAGAATCACATGAAATCCACAGAAGGAGTTTGTTCAAGTATGAAAATCAACAAAAATATGTCACATGTTCAAGAGACAAACCTGCTCTAGATGCTGAATTTCTGAAAAATGTAATGGGTGGTATAGACCCACTTTACCACATTCAGAAGTGCCCTATAGAAATTTCCAACATTTTTAATGTGCGCAAATTTCTGTTAGTCATGAGGCATGTTAAATGTCTGTTCCTTGCACCTCGATCACTATTAATACAATTCGCAGAAGCCGTTGCACCACAACAGAAAAAAACAACACAGCCACAAAAATCTTTGGTCTCTTCTTGTAATATTAAACTATAGACACTTTCATGCTGCTCATACAGAGCCAGCAGCATTACAAAGTTTGCAACTCAACTGCATTTCGGTTTATTCTCCGTGCTGCTATTTAGAGGGCCCCACATGGCCTTAAAAACCAAACAACTTCAAACCAACTTTTACTACAACTCCACAAATCTCAAACATCATCACATATAAATAGAAACATATTTCACATCACAGGACTGAAAACTGAACAGTTTTAACAAATAAAAAGGGCAATAATGTGCAATAATATTAGATGTGAGTGAACATCATGCTTTTCAATATAATACAATGTTAAAAAATATCTCTTCGACGTGCAAAAATATCTAATAAGATGACATAACACATGTTATGCACTTCTCCATTTAAAATATGTGTTTGCTTATCCTTCTATGACTGTTTCAGATGTGTATGCATGCTGTTGACTTTGTGTGGGCATGGAGGGAATGTTTAATTTGTTCATTTGTTTGTCGTACAATGTTGTGCAAATGTCAGCTAATAGCTTCACTGTTTAAAAAAAGCTGAGATGATATTATAATGTAAGATTGCAGCATTAAGTGATGCGCTTGTTTGGATTTGTTGAGTAAATGCTTGATGTTGCTTACACTGCAGAAAACACACTGTTGTACCTCAGCTCACCCTCACCTTCTGCCCTTTAGGCTCCTGTCTGTAAAAGTCAGGCATGCAGCTCCTCCCCCCTCAGTGGAATCTCCTTCAGGCATTTCTCATCACAACCCTCTGAAGGGTCCCGACATGAGGTATCAGATGTCTGATGCAGAGAGGGGAAGTTTGCTAACTGTAATGTACCTGCCACATGTGCTGCAATGTACAGTAGTATAGTGTGTGTGTGTGTGTGTGTGTGTGTGTGTGTGTGTGTGTGTGTGTGTGTGCGTGTGCGTGTGCGTGTGTTTGTGTGTGTGTGTGTGTGTGTGTGTGTGTGTGTGTGTGTGTGTGTTTCTTTAGCTAACCAGGGATCCGTAAAGAGGAGGCTAAAGATCATTTTCTGACTTTTGAAGTTTTAATTGCTTGGAGTCAAAGGTCCTCACAAGTATTAGATGAATGCGGTTGGTGTAGTACATGCTTTGTTCTTTCACATGTTGATACCAGAGGAACATTCCTGGAAACATAGTCCTGTCTGTTCACACAGGTCATAAATGCTGTGTACACATAAGCACAGTTACATCACATGTGCACACCAACTGGTATATCATACTGGTCACAGTTTCAGCTGGGAAGCTCATTACAACTGTATACATTGACAATTAAACCATTTCAATCAGGGGAGACTTAATTGAGAATGAACAATTATTTATTTACAATAAATGTGCAACAATTTAATTTTGAATGTGCAAAGTCTTTGGGGGATTAGACTCCATCGTGACGACTTCCCACTCGGAAGGTAATGAAGCCGACAGCAGGCTAGGAGACCCCCCTATGGAGTCTAGACACTGGTGGTGGTGAAGAGGAATGGAGGCTATGATGAGCCTGAATCTGGACTCTGCTGAGCTGGAATGGAGGTGACTGGGGCGGTGGTGGGTTGCAGCGGTTGCCCTGAAATGACAGAATGACTGCGGAAGAGAGAGAACTGTTTTAGCATTTTGCCACAGCAGAATGATTGGTTGAGAGAGGTTGTTCCTGAATCTGGTTGGTTAATTACTTAAAGAATAAATGCCCATCATCAGCTGATCACCAGAGGAGGGAGACAGAGGAAGTAGTAGGGGGAGTGGTTTAGGTTGAAGTGAAAGGATGAATGAATGAGTGGAAGAATATAACCAATCTTCTTGTCTGAACTTACGCTGAGCTCCATTTGCAGGACAAGTAATGAAGTTCTGTACCACTTAATTTTATTTAAAAGAGTAAGAGAAATTTAAGAAAATGTAAATTTTTGAAAGGTAAGATACATGTGGAAATGTGTCATTGGCCCTGTGAGGAGTTATTCACAAGTTATGAAAAAGACTGATATTAATATTGATTCATCTATATGACCTTGTAAAGCAAAACAGACCATCAGGGACAACATTACTATTTCTATGTATCTACTGTAATGTCTGTTGGTGTCTCCCACAGCAGAGATTAACATAAAAAAAATAAAAAATACTCAACACAAGGTAGATTTTATTTTATTAATGGAGGGAGAGGATGGCTAGGACTTTTTCCAAAAATGCATGGCATATAGAGGAAGCTCATCAGGGAATCTGTGGATGTGATGCCAAAAGCAGTTCCAGTCACTCTTTGGGGTTTGACCAGGGGCCCGTTTCTAAAAGAAGGATCAACAAACCCTCAGTCTAACCCTGAGCTCTGAGTTGATTTACTCTCAGATGGGAAACTCCGAGTTTTCGGTTCCAGATCAGCAGATTTTAATTTGTTAAATCAACTCTGAGTAGGTCCACTCGGTGTTCAGCGAAGTGGTGTAAGAGAAAACAGCTGCTCGGGTCAGCACGTAAAGCCTATAAATTTAATATTTAATCAGAATTATAATATTGCAGGTCAAACAGATGGAATGGTAGGCTATTAAACCTATACAATTTATTTTCATTAAGATGCCATCCAGCAGAAGAAAAGTGACTTTAAAACAGCTCAAAATGAAGTAGGCCTAGGCTATAATAACATAATAGGCTCATATATATTTAAAGTTAACTTCAGTCAGTCTACTTTGAATGTGCATTAACTTTATCCCCAACATAAAGCTGTAATCACACACATAGGCTAAATGTCCTCTCATCTTATCCCGTTTAGTTTATTAATCAACCCTAATTAAATTAGGCTAACATCTCCCGCTGTAATGTAGCCTAGGCTATAATTCCCTGCGGAGTAGCATAATGCAGCCCCTTCATACCGATTTAAAGACATGCCATGTTCGATAAAATAGTTCATCTTATACTCTGTAGTAGGCTATTGCCACCCTAACATATCATATTAAAACAACCTGGATTTTTATTCAGACAAACGGTGAATCTTCACTAACACGCGCGTGATACGGACCGATTGAAAGAATGAGGAAATTAAACGGCATTTCCTGCTCTGAAAGAGGGTGGAGACTGAGAGAAACTCGGGGTTCATTGAACAAAACCTGCTCCTGACCAGGTTAGGTTCACAGACTCAGTTGCCATAGTAACTGACTCATAGGTAAAGTAACCTCTCCCTCTGAAACGGGCTGGAGTTACCCCTCTTTCTCGGGTTTGAGTGACCTCCTCTTCTGAAACGGAATACCCAGAGTTTCCCTCATTTCAGGGTTAACTGACTCAGAGTTTACACAAAACCTTCTTTCAGAAACGGGCCCCAGGACAGCTTTGGACAGCTGACAGTACTGATGTCTGCTTGTGTGCGTTTGTGTGCCTGTGTTGCCACCTACATGGGGTTTCTTTTTATTTAACCTAATGCCTTTCAGCAGTTTTTCTTTCAACGCATTGTGGAGTTTCCTTTATTTTCCAATTCACAACTGATTTGCAATATGCAATATTCTTGTACATGCAAGATTTGATTGTGTAATGTAATGTTTTCGCTGAATACTACCGTTTTGACCTTAGCAACATCATTTAAGGTAGCACAAATTCTCCTAGGAATGCAAACACATTATTAAAACAGTTTGGATATATTAATGTTGTCAATTAAAGTAGTGACTATGAAAAATAATATCTTGTAATTGGAGTTATGTTTAACACTTAAACCTTAGGATTGACCTTCAAACTGTTCTCTTTACTACAAGATGGTTTTATTTTGGTTACAAAGTTAGCTAGCACATGAAACTTGGAGCTTTTTAGTTTCACACGAGAAAGAGAACATCAAAGCAAACACATCTACAAAATGTCAAACAAAATTTAAATAAAGACTTCTTCCCACGGTGGTTAAAAGTTGAATTGGCTAGCTAGCTACATTAGCTTGTTGGCTATAATGCCTTAGCTAGTTAGGTATTTTAACGGGCTGGTTCAGTCATTGAGTGCAGTTTGATGCTGAAAGTTAGGCTAGATAGCTACTAGCTAGCCATTCTTAATGGTGCAGTCTTTTTAGAAATTAGTATTTAGACAAATTGGCAAAGTAAACTATCTCCCATAAACCAGTTATCTAGACCTTCACTTCATGTTCAGCAGAATAAAGTATTTTTTTTTCTTTTGGTCATTTTTCCAGGGAATAAAACAGTCAATACTCCCAAACTAGTTAAAACTGGGCAATGTTCAGCTTTTGAAATCCATAGTCAATGCAAGTGAAAGTCATCTTAATAACAGTGAAAAAATAGAGGCCAAACATCACAATTTATTTTTATACCAAGTATTTGATAGTTTATTTCCATTTATAAGTATTCATCTCAAGTCGACAATTAACATTACAGCCCATCAGCTCTCTGGAATTGTCTACAAGTCGATTAGCTGTAGGTCAGCCATAGAGGGAGAAGGGGAATGGTGGTAAGACTGAGGGACACCAGATAAGCCTAAAGCAGGGGGAGGACAGAGGGAGGAAACTGTGGTTACTGCCGCCAGATCCCAAATTCAGCTCGAATCAACACAATGTATGCAACACCATGGTCGTAATCATCTTTCTCCATCATTCAGTCCAGTGCCGTTGTGCAGAAGGGAATGCTGGGAACTTGGAGGACTCAGTGCAGTGGACCTGCAACACAGGAGAGAGGGGTGAGATGGAGGAAGACACAAGGGAAACAATAACTCCAGGTTTTAACATTTACTCTTTATAGAAATATAGCAATTTCTATAATTTGTCCTTTTTGACATTTTGTAGACCACCATGTGTACTACAAAAATAATCATTAGTTTTCTTTGTTTACAAGACTTCCAAGAAGAGCAGTATTTTGCTGTTTCACATCAAGCATCACAGAGAGTGGTGATTGCCTGACGTGTATCCTTGTTATTCTTTATAAATGTTACTACACATTCTGGATTGGCTATCAAAATGGCAAACTAAGTGATGAGTCAGATCTTTTCTATTTTGGAGCCTCATATAATGAAATTGTGACCGTTTTGTTAAAGGTCAAAGTTTGGATAGTTTAAAGAAGTGAGAACGGACTGAGAACTTTACTTGGCCAAGAGGCAACATCTTGCCTTGGACCTTCATAAAACTGGACAAAGCCTCACTTGCTAAATCCTTCAAGACTGTGCAAATCCAGGTGCAATTAAGACATTTTTTATACGTTCATCACATTCTGCAACACAACGGTTCTATACATACTGAACTTGTTTATCACTGGTGTAGAGGGGGTTTAAATTACGGTTGTCCAATGCACAACCTCAGAACGGTTCGCTCTGCTGTAAAAACCTTGTCTTCATCTTTTGAGGGTAGTTATTTAATTTGATATAACAGCTTTCTCAGTATTCATCTTTATGCTAAAGCTATAGTTAAGATATTTAATTTAGCTATCACATATTTTATTCAGGCACTAAAAGAACGGGTTCAAACTGATAGTCTGTCATATGATTGATACTGATTGAGGTGATTTTATTTGGATTTCAAGAGCAAACTGTTTCAAAATGAAATTAAATAAAGCAGCAGGGACATCTCTTTCCTGAAACAGTGACCTGCTGGATAATCCCCAGACTTTTCTGTGAACAGCTTTTACTAGATGTGAATTCTATGAATCAGAAAATTATGTAACACACTTACATTGGAGGTTATAGGGCGACTCCTCATGACGTCCCCTCAGCTGCACTCTTCACACAAGCAGCGAAAGCCTCCATCAGGTCTTTGCAGCCCTCTGGTCCATTCCCTGCCACGCTGCAGGGGAAAAAAAAAAAAAAGTAGTTAGATCACAGTGAGGTTATCTCACATTTAAATACCTCAGCATCTCATTTGGTTGTTACACTTAAATGTCACCTTGTCACAAAGATGGAATTTGAGTTGGAAACATAAAGAGGAATGACAGAGGTTTGTCAGCAATAACAGACTCGACAAGTCCCTGTACAACATATTCTGTCAACAAAACAGATGCAGGTTTGTGTGATGGCAGATTTGAAAGAGGCAGAAAAACTAGGAGGCACACCGGTGCATTCTCATGCCCGACTTTCATTTGGTAGAGGATGAGTGAGTATACATAAATGAGGGAATGTGTGAAGATAAAAATAAATGTTCTTCCTCTTCAAAGTGATAAGTGTTGTCAGGGTGCTCATTGTTCTGCCTCAGTGCACGACTTACTCATTAACACTCAGAATACCTAACTCATGACTGTTCTTATATCTGGAATGCCATGGCTGTGAAAGATCGAAACAACAAGAAAAATTAGCGAAGGTCAAGACAAACAAGTGTAAGACAGAGAGCTAGTGTGTGTCGGCTATACCAGATTATCTCAGACCTCCATGCAGGAGCAAATACAGCAGCGGTCACTGCCACACCACATTAGAGTGATGGAGCAAGAGGGAGAAAGAGAAGGAGGGGTGAGGGATACAGAAAGCCATGTGGATGAACCCATCTGTTTGATGGGACACCAGAGAGGGAGGTGAAAGAATGAGGGAGGGAGAGAGCGAGAGAGGGAGGGTGGTTGCGTGATAGTGCAGAGATGACTAGACACGGAGGCAGGAGGGTAAGCCCACAGGAGGAGGGGTTTCATGATACATGATTGTGAACCCATCCTTTTGCTGCTCCAATCACAGAAGGACGTCTAAACCTCTCTTTTCTTCCTCCAATCCAATTGAAGAGCAGGGCAACAATCCTCATCTCTCAATCCCTCCATCCTGGCTCAATGAACTTTAAAGCAGCTTATGCTGGCTAACAATGCTACTTATCCAATAAATAAAAGTCCAAGTTTAAAGGATAAAGCTGATGATAGCTTCGTTTGGTTTCTTTGGCAGGATAAGTAATACAAATGTGCTAAATTTGTACAAAATCCCAAAGAATTAGGAATAACTTCCCTGTAACATTTTCTGAATTCTATGGATAATATGTAAATAAAAAAAAAAAAAAGATAAAAAAGTGCTGTATTTCTCCTGGACCTTCGATGTATAATATTGTTGGAATTTCTAATCAAGGATTTTTTTTACTTTTAATGGGAATAGTTGAACTTTTTATAAGTAAGAGGGATTAATGACACCACTGTTTTGATGCCAACAATGCAAAAAGAGTGACTCCCTAAGTCTCTGCCTGGTAACTCAAGTGCTGAAGACAAGACCCCAGTACTACTCAAAGGTTGAAAGAACTGACTGACCGAACTGTCTGAACTTTAACGCACATCATCACCAATAACTTCATTTTTAGCCTTGTGTAATAATTTAATACTAAGTTCATTCGTAAAATCTATAAAGCTCGGACAGCGACACAATCACATTACATCATGACCCTGTGTTAGTATTCTACATTAGCAACACAGGAGCATCTCTGCTGCTTCCTCTTTGTGTGGTGGGTTGGTGCCTGTAAGTGATGTAACACACAGCTGGCTGATGCAGATTATCATTCAGCGCTTTATTTCGCTTGGAGGGATGGCATGAAGTCGGTGTGTATGTGCGTTGGGAAAAGGGAACCATTGAGTTTGTGTGTGTGTGTGTGTGTGTGTGTGTGTGTGAGCACTTGAACAAAGTCAATGAGCGCTTATGTTTGACGCACTGCACTGATGACTAAACAGCGTCAGTGCAATAGAAATCTAACCCCAAGGGTATGTGTTCAGATAATCCCACCACAGCATCATCAGTCCGCCACAACACACAAACGAGTATTTCTCAATCCAAAGAAGAGCTGACCGATGGAATAGCACAGTCAAATTAGACACTTAAACTAATTATGGCTTTAACTATAAATGCAAGGATCTATTTAATTCACCTTTTATCATTAATTCAATAACATTAAATGTATAAATTCTCATTAGCTTCCCTGGAGATTCTTTCATGTGATTCTGTCCTCTCTCTCTACAGTCCAGGAGATAACGGCTCAAATCCTTCCTCCAAAGAAATCAAGTCAATCCCAGTCTGGTTTTAAGAGCTAAACATAGAACTGATCCACGCTTACCCGTTTAAATGATATTGTTTCTAATATTGAAAAAGAGAAATATTGTTCTGCCCTTTTTGTTGATTTAACAAAATCATCTGACAAAATGAATCATGTAAGAATCCTAAAGAGGGTATGGGATGTCATTTTTATGGTGAGTGTAAATAGTTAAGGAACTACATGTATGTGTTGCTCACACTTGGAACATATAACAGACATTTTGATAATACAATACTTGACATGCATTCTAAAATAAATCTTTGTTATTCTAATGAATGTATCAGAGATTTAAAAAATAAATAGAGATCTCCAGAATTTCAACCCTATGTTGCTGCAAGAGTAGAGAGAGAGTTTTTAACCCTGTTCTACTTGTTTTTATAAGTCTGTTATTTCCTGAGTATTTATTCTGTTTTAAGTGTACTCTCAACAATCTATCAATAATTCCTCAAGGATTTAAAATAAGGTTGAACTCAATAGTTTCAAATAAAAGCAGATGGATATATGATGACACATTTATTGAGAGTGCACGCAGGGGGATTAAAGAAAGCATCAGGGCTTGTACAGGCAGAGGAGGGAGAAGAGCAAATGACATCATCACCATCTCATTGGTCACGCAATCTCCCGGGAGAAAGGGTATGAGCTGGGTCATCTTTAGAGGTCAAGGGGCAAAGCTGGGTCGCCATGCCTACAAGGGACAAGGCTAAATAAAGGATTGAACACGTTGGAAAAATCCAGACTACATTCCCTCTTTACATTATATGAAACAAAAGCTAATGTTCAGTTAATAATGGAGGAAGTGAAGGAGGGGGGTGTGGGAGAGAGGGGGCATCCTCGTCCTGTGTTGGACACAATCAGGAAATGATATCTGAATTATTTAGACTGGGCTCGCTGTAGTCTGCCCTCTGGGACAAACATGCATAATAAATCAATGAGCAGGTGCACAAGTACAGGATGATGTAGAGGCCAAACACTAGCCCACAGGTCATGTGATTAAGGAGCGTGTGCAGTATCATCATTTGGTGGGAGGCACAAAAGAATCAATAAAAGTATTCCTGGGCATCTTCAGGGAGATTTTCACGAGTTTGACACCTTGTAAAAAATAGAATGTCTACTGGGGGTTCCACATCACCAGTGGCTATTACTAGCAGTCTGAAAAATTTAAAGACTGTTTTTACTGGTTCCTACCAGGTTTAGAAACACTGCCTCAAGCAGCTGCAAGGGTTAATGGGACCTATGTCGGCCCAGTTAGTGCCTTTTATGTACTGAAACAGCTACCAAGTCCCAGAGCTAAGCAATTCTTCATTACATTTATAAGAAACCCACAAGGTTGCAAACACAAACTGAAGGTATTTTTAGAAACCTCAAAGACTCCTCTACTAATTTGTAACTTTCACAAACATACACAACCAAACTAAAAGAGATCAATAGCCATCGCTCATATACTGTAGTAAACTATATTTCGAGAGTGTGAGTGATAATGGATCTTAAAGAGAGTGAAGCTTCATTGATAATGATATAACAGCCAATGTATTGAATTTTTGAGCTGGGATTACGTAACCAATTCACCTTTTCTATGCTGATTCTGCACAAGCATTTCATCGTACTGTAGGCATATGACACTAGATAATATTTCAAGTTGAGTGTTGATAACCTTGCAGTGGTGTTCTTTGTTTGACTAATTATGAGAACTTTATTCCTTTTGTCAATACATCCATCACTGTGTTCTGCATTATATGTTCTGTAAAATAAATATTTGAAATTGGGAAATCTTAAAACATATTTTGGTTCATAAAGGATACATGTCTTTGTGACATGCCCATTATCAGCTCACATTTACTTCAAGCTTTGAACCATCTCAGTTTGTATAACAATTTTCTCCATTTTGAAGTGAAAACCTGGTAACAGTTATCAACTCCCCCTCAGGGTTTTCAGAGCTCACCGGATATTATTTTTGAGAAAATAAAAAAACTCAAGAGTTAAATGTAATAGTATCCTATTCAGAAAAAGCACATTCTGGTAGAGGGGCCTTCCCCTTAATATCATGCAGATTTGAATGAGGATGAACATTTTGTTGTCTTTACTTCTACTCAGAATTATTATCTTAATCCTATTAATAAGTACTGACCAGAACTCCTTAAAAGATGGTGCAGCATGGTGGGTTGAGAGGCAGGAGTGACAGACGGACACACCTACAGCTCAGCACTCAGATTACTGACTTTTGCCCTGTCACCAAATTCCACAATGAAAACCAGCACGGTGTCCACTGGCAAGAATGTACATGTCTGTCTGCGCATGCAACTGTAGGTCAATCCTTAACAGAGAGAGAGAGAGAGAGAGAGAGAGAGAGAGAGAGAGAGAGAGTGTATGTGTGTGTGTATGATGAGGACCAAGGAAGGGGGTAGGGTCTGTGTGCTTATGTTAAACTCTTGTGAAAGAGTTTCAAAGTACATAGGCTTACTATTAACTAACATGTTAGCTATAGGGGTTTGCGGCATATTGTTCAGGGTAAATATTAGCAGAGCTGACAGCTGAACAGGTCACATAATGGGCATTAAACATGTTTGTGTGTGTTCATTGATTAACCGTTCCCTGCTGTGTGTCTGCAAACAAACACTATAAAAAAAAAAACTTCATCTAGTATAAATTTTGCTTCTAACACCAAGTATAGCAAAACAACTGGTATGAATTAGGTGACATTATTTAAAAGGTTTATTTTAATAAGTATTTGTTTGCATCTTCAAACAATACGGTCTGTGCACAAAGCAAGGTCTGAGACAAGAGTAATATAATATTGTAAAGTACTCAAAACAATCTGAAATGTGTGCAGTGCAATTCATTATTCACCTGTGCGTAGATAGCATTAAAAATTAATTGTATTGAGACAGACAAATGACTAAAAATAGTTTTCAAACTTTATGAGAAAAACACAAAGATGTTAGAGATCAGGTTTAGAAACTATTACAGCAGGAATCAGGCATAATTGAATGCTTATCAAATTATAAGACCTTCACTTTGTTTAATTGCAGGTGTCAAAGTACAATTAGAATACTAGTATGGCCTTGGCAAGGTCATAAACCACTTCTATCTAAAAGAAAAGTGTATTACAAGATAAAAATTATTTTAACAACGCTTGTGCTAAAATTATATAGTAGTCTATGATTAATAAACGTGTTTTGACTTTCCCTGTAGGTCAGGATTTATCACTACAACATTAAGGCTTAAATCCAACATGGCCGCCTCCAGGAGTCTCTGGTTTGAGTGTGAATGTGAGGCTGTTGCACATTTAGCTGGTCTGTTTAAAAAGAAGTGTCAGGTGGAGCCGTAACATGATCTATGACAGGGAACATGTCATGGTATCCTGCAACATACAGTCTTGAGTCGTACACACGTCTATAAATACATAGGGGTTATGGTATTCATTACACTGTCAGCCATGTTGCATCTGCTGGCTTGGAGCAGGGTGGGTTGGAATAAAATGAAAGGCCCAGACTGGCAAGAAGGGCACTGGTAATACATAGGACCATTCAGCACATAAGTGACCACATGCAGAGAGACAAGAGAGGAGCTGATCATTTGAAATCTGAACACTTCCCTTTAAGCAGACATATTAATAGAACATCTATCTTATAGGCTGGATTTAAATTATTCAAGACAGTTCGATTTCATACTAACCAACATGTCCACCTTTATGGAAGTCCAACTGTCCACCTTGACCCATTGCCAGCAAAATCGAAAGACTTAAAAAAATGGCAATACCTAATGTAGAGGTTAATGACTACACAATACATTTCTCATGCAGAAAAAAATGAATTTTCATCTTATAAAGTTAACTGATATGTCTTGAAGAAGGCGTTGTTTTTTTTTAAAGTGAAAAAAAGAGATTACCAAACCCATGTAGGCAGTTCTTAACCTCTACTGCATTCTTGTATCTGCAGGCTGTGTTAGCCACACCTAGCACAACCCCCCAAAGATGCTATCTTTGGTTCAAATGCTTCAATAATGTTTTTTTTTTTTTTTTTTTTTTTTTAATTGTCCATTGTTTTCAGACTGTGCTAGAGAAGTACAATGCTAAGGTGGGGAAAGTGATCGTTCAAACAATCACCGGTTAAAAGTTAAAACTCATTAAAAGTAATGGCTCCTCCGTTAAATGTGTTACTAGCAGACTTACCTGCAATATCAGTTAGTTGAAATATTAAACGTATCTTACGACTGCCTGACCATAGACAGGTTGCACTGTGCTTTGAAGCACCCTATAGAGTGTTCCCAGTAAAGAACTATTTGCACTTTAACAAGGTGTCATAAATTGCCCCTTACTGTATCTGAACACATAAGATGAGCAGACTGCAGTTTGAGTTATGTATCAATGGCAGATCATTTACATTCATAAGAACCTAAACAAAGAAATATTTTAATTACAAACTAATTTAAAGCTTAAATGGATCCTTGAGTGTCCTAAGCTTATACAGTATATATAAAGTAAAGTGGTGACAAAGTTGGCACATTATGAGGCCAGCCAGGCCTTTCTCTGCCTGCCTGCCCTCCCTCCTCCTCCTGCTGCTCAACCTGCAATCTTATCTAAATGCTTCACACATTTACTGCCACCTTATCACAACCTGACATTCTGACTGGAACAGACTTTGCCGCCTTTACTATCAGAAATGCTTGTTTTCAGCACAAATTTAGGCAAAAAAAAAGAAGCAAGATTACAATATGTAATTACTTGGTGTTCAAAGATGTAAGCAGTTGCACATAATAATTCGTTTATTGAGTTTAACCTCCATCTTAGCCACCATGCACTAAAGAGCATGCACTAGAGGTGTGGAGGGTTGATGTGCAAGAACATGTGCACCCTTAGCGCACTTGGCTATAAGCTGCAACCGCAGAGAACTGTTATGAAATAAGACATCAAAATCCCCAACAATGTCACCACTGTCCCTGATCATTGATAGCAGTCAGCGAAGAGAAGCAGTGCAGATTTTTTTGGGTATCGCAAGGTATTCTGGGTAGGGGGAGGCTAGTGACGTAAGCAGATTCCCAGCCTCCATCCATGCGAACAGATGAGCATCAAACATCACCCCACTGTCGCCCATCATTAATCGCAAAATCGCTGTGTCCTATGCAGGGTACCCAGAGTTTTCCTAACCTTTACCCCCAACCCGCTAGTAGTTGAATTGAGCTGCATTTCCTCATGCTAGAATTCATTTACTATTGGTGGTTTAAGCGCTCACGACAGCCACCTCTGAAAAGGCTCCATTTTAACATGGCGCATCTTAGGATGCTGCTAATTCCACCACCATTACACCCGTGCAAGATTAAATCAAATTCTGGACTTTAAGAATGATTTGTTTTAAGACTGGTTCTTGCGGTAAGGTTAAAAAGTTTTGCAAATGAGTCAAATCATCCATTCTTTGCTCAGCACTTTCAGCTGTTTCGCATATCAGTAAATTATAAATGACTGAAGGCAACTCTTCCTGCAGGAGGAGAACTTTTGGAACAAGGACTGACTGCTGGAGTTTGGTGTCATGATGAATAACATATTCAAATGTACACTTTTTTTCTTCTGCATTGCCACATGCACACAGTCACCTACCATTTGTCCAGGTCAGCCTTGATGCTGGCACATGCAGCGGGGACGGGGGGCCTCTGCTGGGGCGGCGGCGGTCTCTGAGTCCGACATGTCTGTGGTGGTGCTGTTGGTGGTGTAGAGTGTGAGTGCCCTGTCCTGTTCCTGTCCTCCAAACGCCTTTGGATCCCAGAGCCACCAGTAGAGACAGAGACAGAGAGAGAGAGAGAGAGACAGTGGAGTTGAGTTGGTTAAAGGGGAGGGCTCACAGGAGGAGGTGGGAGGAGATAAACATGTGACAGGCCAGCACACGCGTGTACACAGTGGTAACGGGCAGGGATGGGAGGGTTGTATGGGGGGGGGGTGAAGGTTGAAGGTTGAAGGGGCAGTGACCTAAACTGAAGTACAAACTGAAGTACAAAGGCGGAAGATTGAAAAACAAGGACAAAAGGAGGGGATGTTGGACATTCAGTTCTTACTGATGGCAGAGTCATCTTGTGGTTTGTTACAAGTACTACCCAAACACCATGGGGGGCTCCACTTAGCCTGTACTGCTCTGACATGGAAAAGCAATTTAAAACTTCAAACGTAAGCTTAACAATTACTACAAAAACTGAGGACATAAAAAATGTGACGGCCCTTCCACAACTTGCAGAAAAAAATAATAAAATAATTGTGCGTATCATAATGACTGTCAGTCCTCCCAACATGTCATGCATCCGTTCAGTTGTGCCATCTAGTGGCAGTTTTGCGCAACAGGTTCCAGCATCTTGCTGCTTGAGCTCTCTCATAGCACATGGCAGCCATGCTGCAAAGGTTAGACAATGTCAAGCAGCAACACGTTTTAAGGCTAAACTAAGCCAGGGGATATTTTTCGTTGGATTTATGGATTTATTTTATAATCAGTAATAAAAGTAATTCAAGTTATTGTATCACTGTGACGACTTTTCATTGTATGGATGCATCCAAAAGTAGGAGCAGAGTCTACTATGAGCCATATGTCCTTGTACTGTGGTAACTAGTGTTTGCAAGGTCACTTTCAGAACTTTTTAACTTTGAAAAATACCCTGGAAAAGTCTGAAGTAGGGATTCAAATAACTTATTAACGCTAGAAAAATATAAAATTCCATATTTCAGAGGCTGGAACTAGACTACATCACTTTTTTTTTTTTTAAGTTGCAAACTTATCGGTTAAATGCAAAATAGTTTAAGCCTTATTTATGACAGACAACTGCAATACACTGTTGCTATCTTTGATTTTTATTTGTCAGATAGAATGTTAAGATAGGCTACTTAAGACCCACTGTGAGCCTTTCCATAAAGGTCCACAAAAGCTGAAGGCCACTAGACAGAACTAATGACAAAGGATTGATAATAACTTTCACTTAGCATGAGAAAGGCTAACATTTTATCCAAAAATACATTCAATCAGCCATTCTTCTAATGTTTGGAAAATATCAGGGTTCAGGTTGTAGCAAACGTTTATGCAATTCTGCAACAACAAGCTGGACTCTTTGTGACTTAGCCTATATGAAGTAGACTTTTGTGATTTCCTAAACAGCTGTAAGAACTAGTTAGGACCGAAGATTAACCCCCATTATCACTGCGACACCTCTCTGACTCTGGTGTAATGTCACAGTGTCGCGCTCCTCATGTTATGCAACAAGCTTTCTGCTGCGCATACAAACTGCTAGAGTCGCTTCATACGCAGAAAAAGACCGGAAAGTCAGCACTGTGAGCAAAAAACTGTGTAAATATACGACTAGGCTAGTTCTGAAATTATTTTATCCCCTTTTAAAACAGACTTAAATTGCTAACTTTGCATACTTACTTAGCTTATTATTTAACAGGCTTTCATTGTGTCTCACTTGGCCCTTTTCTGTCCTCAGCTCTACCAGTCCGCTACACACCTGCAGCTCTATAGAACTGCACGCGCCCTATGACTTATGGGATATGAAGTTCCTGAGCGTTGGCAGACTGCTGAGTAACCGCGGCCAAAAGCGGAACAAGAACTTTTTTCAACAAACACTTTAACCTCTGACGGAAAGGCTTAATATAAACCTACTAGCCTACATTAACTGGCCTCTGCTGTTTCCTAAATTAGTACTCGTTAATATTCCTAATAGCCTTGTGGAAAAAGTATGATGAGCCTTAATTACATTAGCATCAAATGTCAACCAATTACCCCAACTTCCTGCACGGAAAAAACTCCTCTTTGAGCCTCCCTTGCAGAATTAATGCTCTCTCATACATAAATTCTGTTTGAACAGAAACTAGTGAAAGAAATAGTGAAAGAAAGATAAAAAAAAAGTTGTATTAAATAGCCTATGTTTACCTTCAGTTTAATGTAAATAAAAAAACAGTTTTGGATCAACAGAAATGTTTCTCTGTAAAGCCAATTGCATTGGTGTCCATGTGAAGCCCAGTACACACCTCCCTGCAGCCCATGTGCTCAGAGACCAGAGGGAACACCATGTACTTTTAAGTAACATGAGTGTATATCTGTGCAAAATCTACCATTTGAGATTAAATTCATGAAACAATTCCATTTATACCTACCTAGCTGCAGACGAGGGATGTGGTCCTGAGGTAGACAACTGGAAAAGTGTCTAGGTGTGTGCAGGAATCAGCAGAAAATGCCAAAGGGGGGCTATGTGGTGGATGTGATCTCACTGAAAGGGGGTGTGTTAGCATTTCTTTACGAGTGTGTGTGCATGTGTGTGCATGTGTGTGCTCATGGTATGTGCACACACACACAGCCAGGAGCTGAAAGACAAAATGGGGGATGGGAAGGAAAGAAAGAGAAAAGAAGGCTGAAGATGTTTTAGGTAGGGTAAACCAGTTTGAGATTCCATGAGGGTTAAACAGATCTATAGAGAGTTAAGAGAGAAGCGGAGGGGCTTTGCACATGTAACACGCATGTCTTGCTCTTTGTGGTGTACTGCGGCAATGTTAATGTGTTTCAGCCAATCAAAAAAATGAAATACAGCTCCTGCCGCCTGTTGATTCTGCCTGCATTTCCCTGATTATCTCTGTATTTGCAGGTTTCTTGTGATATCCTCAGGCTTCATGCTGACTTTGCACAATCAACACCATTCAACATGTATAAACAACAAAAACACACAAACACACCCTCTTTTTTTGTTTACAAGACAAACCAGCAACATCAACCTGTTTTCTGACAACATGATTTCTTGCAGTAAAAAAAAATGTTTTGTGTGTGTGTGCGTGTGTGTGTGTGTGTGCGTGTGTGTGTGTGTGCGTATGTGACATTGTGACATTGTGACATTGTGCCACACACGGAGGGGATACCCGAAAATGAGAGGAGCCTTCAAAGTCAGCCTGTAGGTCACACATGTTAGGCCTGCTAACATGTGTGAACGTGAAATCATATTACACACCATATTACCACATGGGCAATATTGTGTTATATGGCCTCCATCTAATGTTCAAGCCCAGCTTGTTGCAAATTGAAAAAGATCTGCTTCAGCTATATTTTTTGAATAAGGTCAGCAGAAAATAAATATTGGATGTGAAAAATATGTTGCTTTTAACATTTTCCTACGATGTGAGAATGTAATAATGAGGACATAATCCCAATAACAACAACCATGAATAAAGAATAATAGTTTTCTTACAGAAAAAAGGACAAACTCAAAGATATTGAAAGTGCTAAATGTATAGTCCAAACTGTAGATGAACAATTTCCCATGGCATCCATTTTTTAAAATAACATTTTAACTGCTGTTTCCTTTCTTTATGGAAGAAATTTGGAATGTTCAAGAGTTCAAAGATTTTGGATTGACAGGGTCACACTTTTAGTAAAAATTACCTTTTTTTAATCCAATATTTTACTGTCTAAGTGTCTTTACTGTTTGCATTCAGCCAACAGCTTGTTTTATTGTTAAAATAAAAAGTGGCTGACTGCTAACATTACTAATTCAGTTTCATACAACACACAAGGAAAGGCATGAATTCCTATCAACGTGTAATGATAGCCTAATAGAGATAGAAATGTTAACACCACTAGCGGTTGCCAACAGTAGATAAGGAGTAATCAAATATCTGTTTTTTTAACCTGAGAAATGCCCCAACCTTCCTTTAGATTTGTACTCTCGGTTGTTTCTTCAATAACTGATGAGCTGTGAAGTGATAAAAGGATAAATAAAACTTAAATAAATCATCATTATGACCTAAAACATAGCAGCACGATTTATAACAGCAATGGAGTTTCCATCCTCAGCATGCTGCTGAAAAAAGACACATGGGTAAAAAAATGAAAAATAAACCACATAAAAAAGTTGTTTTTTTTGTCAATACATGAGTAACTGGTAGGCTATAAGAATTCTGTTTCTGTGAGGCTTTACCATAAACTACAACAACATTTCCTCCAAAACTACTACTACAAATATACTGTAAGTCCTCAAATGAGTAGATCAACTTTAAGCTTCAACCTCTATTCTCTGTCAGTGTGACAATATAATCAGACCAAGCTGTCAGCTAATCACTGCCACAGTCTTGATGTGGACCAAGACGTTTTAACATTTTGTTGAGCTTGCACATCTTTACATGTTTTCTGAACGTATTCTCTTTAAACCGTCCTGCATTGTCCTAGTTAAGCCGGCCTGAAAAAAACTTTGTCCACCAGGTGTCCCCATTGAGATCCCTCCTCTGTCCGTCCACTCATTTTTCACCTGCTCTACACAACTGGAAAAGGGTTGTTAAAACAAAATCAGAAGCCCAATGTGAGTCACAACATGTCATATTATACAATTTTGTGATAAGGGGTCTTATATAATTTATGTTTATGGAGTTACAAAAAATGACTCAGAAAAAATACTATCTTGTGTGGGGAAATATACCATGCACATTTCTGGATGAACCCATGATGATGTACTGTAGACACGCGTCTATGTCAGTGTTTATATCTATTTATCTAATTAAGAACTGGAAGGAACTTTTTCCATGTCTTTGCTCCCTCAACTTCTCTGCAACCACCACCAACACAAGTCAGGCACAATGAATTCATGAACCTGCGAGTGTCTCCTGTTGCATCCATTCAAACTGCTTGACCATGTTTCTCATTATGGACTCAAAGTTCCAGTCAATCAGCTCCCACTCTGCTGCATAACCAAACTATGGTAGACAAGGAGCTATAAAACAGGAAAGACATGCTGGAAGGAAAGAGAGTTTAAGACAGAGACAAACAAAAGACGAGAGATGGCTAACAGAAAAAACAAGGCTGGGAAGCTCTTCATGTCGGGTGAGATGAACTTAGATGAGCTTCTTTATTTTATTTATTTAAGTATTATATGTGCATGTCTGTCTTAGATTGGTGAAATGCCATTATAACACTAATATAATTTTTTTTTGTAGATTTTCACATTCAAATCAGGAATTTAAACCATTGTGTGATTACTAGAACCAATATTGGCATAATTAAAGTCTTGCAGAGTCGAATAAACGTTACAGAAATAATAATAATAACTTTATTTATATAGCACAGGTTTACAAAGTGCTTTGACAAACAGCAAAAACAAGAACAAAGCAAACTAAACCAAACACAGAAGAACATAAACAACAGCAAGAACATAACAAATGCAAAATACTAAAAATAATTAAATACAATTCAACAGAAAAGAACCCAAAGTGCACGATACCCAACAGACATATATAGGAAAAACAAGAACCCAACAACATGAGCTGAGACCAAGAGGACCAAAGATTTAAATAGATGTAAAAAACTAAAAGAGCTAAAAGCAAATAAAAAGATAACAGCAATAAGAAGGTAAGAGCAGTAAAATAAATAGAAACAAGTGGTTAAAGGATAAAAAAAACTATAATATTAATAAAAATAAAAAGTAAATATAAATATAAAACATAAATAGACAAAGTAGCCTAAGTAAGATAAGAAATGACCAAGTTAAAACATAACAGGAGTTAAAATAAGAGCATAAATACGAGATAAGCATAAATAAAAGGACAGTAAGAAGTAAAAGAAGATAGAAATAGTAAAACCAGTAAGAAAAGACATTAAGAAGATGTTTATTCTGCAACGTTATTTGTTTGTAAATTTGTTCAAATTGATTTGTGAGGTTGGCCAAGTGTTTTTTAAACTGAGGGGCAGGTGACTGTGGGGGTCATATAGGCCACTGCATTGGGAGCATGCATGATGTTTGGAGGGAGTGCTGATGGTTGCATGAATATGTGATGTAATTAACAACAAGTGATGGATGCTAGCAAGCTTATTCTAATAACCTTAACCTATTCAATGAAATTCACTCAGCTAATTTTACTACATTTTTTCATGGTAGCATCTATGACATTTAATATTAAAATTCCCAAGACATGTGTGTGTGTGTGTGGGGAGGTATTAAACGGTAGTAAAGCTGTAGTAAAGCAAGACAGAAACAAAATTGAAATCTATTCACCTGATTGGCTGTCACAGCGACAACACTTGTATTGTTTAAGTGGGTTAAGTATTTATATCTTAGTTCTCAATAGCTTTGCTGCTGCTGTTTTTGATGTACAGTATATGGCCTCTATATGTGATTTTTATCTCTACAAATACAGCTGACTTGACTAACATGAAAACTGTGTATAATCTCCATCATTTCCCCAGGCTCCACACTGTTGTATATGGCTGCCGTGTGCAGTGCTGTCCCAGTCGGTGACCTGCTGGACCGAGCCTCTCAGGGCTCTGACACGCTGCACTCCCTCAGCACCATACTTTCACACGAGCTGGTCAGTTCCTGACTTTAAGTGTGTGTGTGTGTGTGTGTGTGTGTGTGTGTGTGTGTGTGTGTGTGTGTGTGTGTGTGAAAATGATTACATAAAGCTTTACTGCATTTTTTAATTGGTGTTTGGATAAAACCTTGAAAATACTTTACCTTAGAAAAGATGTTTTTAATTCTAAATTCTGCTATATTCACAGTGAAATATTTTATGACCAGGTTAGCATTTAATGGTGGTTTTTAAATACAATCACGTCTCCCTAGCAGGACTCTCATTTCCCGCCTATAGGCCGGGTGATCATGCCGCGCCCCTCAATGTGCCACACATCGTCCCTGCAGACGCCCAACGATAAGGAGCAAGCCCTTCAAGTATCCGTAAGTGACTGTATCTGCATTTTTTTTTAAATCGTTCTTATCCTTTGCTTTGACTGGTATTACTGATGTTCTTCCATTACCTCTTGAATATTCTTTCTGCCTCTTTGATCAGCGCGTCATGTCTCTGGTTTCCTATATTTCCAAACAAACAGGCTTGAGGTGATTTTTGGCGCCTTCTGGGGACAAAGTTGCACATCTTACAATTGTTTATTTAGTCCCCAGCATGTAAGCAGTCTTTTTTAACAAACAAACAAACGAATACAAAAAAAAATCATCCATCTTTTGTTTTGTTTTTACAATCAAATGTATCAGTCATTGAAAACTTTTATCATTGAACACTAAAAATGTAAAAAAAATAAAAATAAAACTGGATGTTTTAAAAGCGCGCTGTTTTTCACTTCTTTTGACACCTACACTGCAGCAGGGTTTTCAGGCATTCATTATAATAATACAGAAATAGTCAGATTTGACACTAATGGTCTTGTTTGCTTTGTCAGTCTAAAAGTGGCTTTCATTTTTTTCCTGTTTCAAAACCAGAAAACATCTCTTCACAGGAGCTTTAATGAGTTTAGTAAGATCTCATTGACAGAAATAGTTTGGGAACTGTGACTTGAAAATGTGTCAACAAGGGGAAATGTATTTCAGTTTCAGGAATTGGTTACACTTACTGCCCTCTGTAGGCACAATGCTGGAATTAAAAGACCCTTGGAAGATACTCTTTGTTGGGAATTTTAAATCTGCAAAACTGTCAAATTAGCCATTTTATGTACTAAACAGTGTCAATTTTTTAAATTTCTCCCCAGGAGTCAGATCTGCTCTCATTGGCTCGTTCCCTTCTCAAGGCCTGGAAAGACCCCCTGGTGGTCCTCTCCAACTCTGCTAACGACCTTCCCCACCCAGCCCACAACAGCATATCCAACAAGATCCAGCAGCTTCAGGAGCACTCCAAGAGTCTGGGAGACGGCCTGGATATTCTCTCTGGCAAGGTATGCAAGAGTTAGAAGAAAATCCCTTCAACCATTTTTCTTTTTGCTTCGGTTCAAAATAATTAAATGTAAATGAATTTCTCTTCCAGATGGGTCCAGGGGCTCAGAGCATCTCCTTTCTGCCCTACAGAGGAGGCAATGACATCGGCCAAGACAAGATAACCAAACTTACCAACTTTCATTTCCTGTTGTCCTGTTTCCGCCGGGACTCCCACAAGATCGATAGCTTCCTGAAAGTCCTGCGCTGCCGGGCCGCCAACATGTGCTAAAGGTTGAGACAGGTTGCTTGACTCTAAGGGTCGTATTTTCTCAACGCTTCTATTGCCTACAGATTAGCATGTTTTACATTTATGTTTTCTTTGGCAAACATTATCATTTCAAAGTGTTTGCCATTATGGGCTTGCAGAAGGGAAAAATAAGTTGGAGTTGCACAGGAATCGTTGACTTTTGAAACAACTTTTGGCCACCAAACATTGACCTCACAGATCAAATTCACATTCACCATCATGGTAAATACTGTATTGAGCAGTGTAAGACATTTTTAGAAAGGGACAGCAGCAGCCATGTTAGCCTAAAGATTTATTCTGTAATTCAGTCTTGCTAATAATGGCTTGTTAACTTCCTTTAGAAGAATCAAACATTCCCCCAGATGTTTCCAGCTGGTCTGGCATTATGAAGTGAATTTATTTTGGGCCATAAATTTAGTAAATATTTGTTTTTGCCCTATACACAATCCGATGACAGACTGCAGCATTTGCACTTTAGATTTTATTACGCTTTCTTGAAAGCATTTTAAAGTGATGGCTTTATAATGCAATAGTTCTATAAGTTGTATGCCTATTAAAAAACATCTCTTGCAAATACATTTGTGTTTGAATTTATTTATTTAATAGGGACAATGCAATTTAACATAATTTCAATACAAAGCATGAAACTGATGTGCTGCATAAAGAGTATATAGCTATGGTTATTTTCCAACTCGTGTCCCCATTTGGGCCTTTGTGTAAACAAACAGATTAAAATGTACAAAATTCAGTTACATAAAACCCCATAACACGATATGAGGATACATTAAAATACATGTACAACAATACAAATGCTATAAACCAGTTTAAAATAAAGTTTGAAGATACTATTTAAAAGTGGGTATAGCTCTGGCTTGCTTTGAGCCAGCATTTCACCTTTTTTGTAAAAGATTTTAAGTCCGAGATTAATTTTATTTCAGGTGGTAATGTGTTCCAGAGTTTACAGCCTTTGATGGAGAAGGCTGATTGACCAAACGTAGATCTACGATGTTGTATGCTACAGTTTCCATTCACAGTGCTTTTTGTTACCCTGTTTCCGTCCTGTTTTTGAACATATCTGGAGAGAGGTTCAGGGGCCAGATTGTTGATACATGTAAAAACAAGTTTGAGGAAACATAAATGCATAAAGCTCTCAAAACTGAGTTTTGTGTTTGTGTGTTGTTTCTAGAAAGACAGCCGAGAAAGAGAGAGAGAGAGAGTGTGTTGCAAAGTAAAACAGTGTCAGGAATGTTGTTTTTGAATGATCAGAGTTTTACATTTCTGCCCAAATGTTCCTGTCTGCCCTATTACTCTCTTTGTTACACTACAGGTCATAGTGCATAAACACCATTATGTTTTTCACTATTTGAGAAATGTACTCATTCATTTTCTTTAAAATATTACTTTTTGGCCTTTTGTTTTTATTGATAGCAAAGCAAAAGAGAGACAGGAAGAGTTGGGATGAGCTTCAGGTATGAGAGTTCAGTTTCACCTTCTATACTGACATAAACCAGTGTCCCATTATTCATTTTCTGCCAATAGATTAAACAATTGATTAATTCCAGAAATTGTTTAGAAATCAAGAAAAATAATAATATATGGGCCTATTATAAAAATGTGCAGGGTGAAAGTGGATGAAACCTTTAAAAAAAAAAAAAAAATCACAATTCTATTGGTTGGGAGGGCTTGACAAAATTCTTGCACAAAAAAAAACATGAAAGAAACACTTAGCCTACAGTTGCCATTAGTTGGATGTTTCTTACAATACTTCTGAAGTCAAACTTTGGCTTATGAAGAAGTGAAGTTGTGTCTTTGGGTCCCCCTTTTATGGGAACCACTGCCCATAGAAAAGCCCGGGCCGGCCCTGCGTATCCGGGTTGTTTTCACAACACTGAGCAGAGCTGCTGGCGACCCGGAGAGCTGCAGCCAATCGTCGGGTGGGTAAACCAACACCTGTCTGTCACATTCACCACACACTGTCTGCTGGAACTGCTATGAAGAATAAACACAACCAACAGGTGAAGGTAGCAGCGGCTCAGGACGGATTCGACATGTCGAGCTTCGAGGTGACTCTCCAGCAACTCAATGATCTGTTGACGGACGACTGCGGCTTTTACAGCTGGCCGACAAAACACTTCCACGAGGTTTACCCGAGGATCTACGTGGGCAATGCGTGAGTGATAAAACTAACCTACAATATTGCATATTTGATATTTTTTCACATAGAAAAAAAAAAGGCTATAGCCTAGTAGAATAAGATGCCTTTATTTAAATTTTAAAAAAAAACATGCACCGTTATCAGTCCCCATAGATTCTGTATTTTTATATCAATTAACAATCAGTTCCAATTTGATCACCACTCAGCCATACTTATAGAATGATCTCCATGTACCAGGTAATGTGATGTCTGTGTGATTTCCCCCCCAGATAACTGCAATGAGCCTGACAGTAGGCTGCCTTATTTGTTGTCTTTCTCAACAGATGACAAAATGCACCTGCAGTAGCCTACAGGATCATAACTGACATCAATCAAGTACAAATATGTTTATTCATGAGGATTTCCTGCATCATTTTTCTTTCTGACTCTGGAGTAGTATGTTCCAGGAAAACATGTCATGTTACAAAGGGATAATGAACTCAGTGCTGGACCTTCATAGGCACTTAAATCATTGATATGAAGTGTGTTTAAACCCCTGTCTCACACAAACAGAGTCACTGGGGTTGCATCAGAAGCCTGTTTAAATTTTTAAAGAGTTAGCTATGTTATAAAAAGGCAAAATGGAACAGAGTGGGAGGAAGACAGAGCTGTCAGGGCTGGAAGATTTCAAAAAATAGCTTGAGTTCTTAACCAATTATACCCCTTGAATTAAAACATCCAAAGTGACCTACATTTCAGTCTGTGCTATTATCATTCTGCATCTCTGTCGCTGCTAATATTAGCCTAAAACAGAAACACAGGTAGCAACACCCTGAAGCCTACCATTCTCTACATGAGATCATCATTGACAAAACAGATATTTTACTGCTAAGGAAGACTTGAAACTTGCAATTTTGGACATTGGGAAAAAGTTCATTTTCTTAATGACTGACATAAAATCTGAATATAGCAACCAGTAGAGGTTGAGGTAGAGTAAATGCAGGTTTAAGGCACTTCCATATTGGTTTTACCTTTGAAATTAAGAGGCTTAATCAATTCCATAAACAGTCTCTATTTGTTACTAAGAAGTGAGAGTTTAGAGACATACAATACCAAGTTGAATTATGGGAAGTGACAGTAGGATCTAATATCATTGGCAACTGAGAGCCAGAAAAACGCTTCTGCTTTAATTAGAAAAGAAAAGAAAAGAAAAAGTAATAACAGTCGCTCAACTTTACCAAAACGCAATAAAGTAGACTTACTGTGCAAACTAATTATCATGTGCTAAAGAATAGGTCACTATTCTGCTTTAATTGAAGCTAACATCAGCAAACTAGCTTAGCACAAGGACGTAAAAAAAAAACCAAGAAAGTCTCCTTTATCCTTTATCCAGTTAGCCTAATATAAAGGTTTGACATTATGGGGTGACTCTACACCTTACATTGGTGTAACTGAAAACATAAACATTTAATTTGAAGAAAAATGATGATTTGTATACTATAAATGTATTTCTGTGGTGCTGCGTGAGATCATTAAATGTAATAATGTGTTTAAAGTAGATTTCTTTCAAGAGACTGGATTTGAATACGACAGGGACTTATTGCAATAAACTTTTAGGCCAAGCTAAATCATTTCTAAGATTGTAATAACACCAAGCATAATTTATAATGACATATATCTCCATTAGGGGTTATAACCAACTTTACAAAAAGTCAGAAGCACAGCATTTCCTTACAGAGTTATCAGTAGAAAAAGCTTGTTCACAAACATTTAGCAACATGCAGTATATTGAGCTTCACATCAGGCTTACGAGTGTGTTCTAAATATTAAATGGTCAGCTCTAAAAGCTTTATAAAAGAAGCTTTTAGAAGATTGATTTCCAGCACAGTGAGTCATGGTGGTGCATTTTAATCGACAAAGCCTCTCCAGCGCCTTCATAAAGGAGTCATAAAGGACAGAGCAGAAACACGTGTATCTGTTCAGAGAGCAAATCAATATAGCAAATATAGACTGGAACACACTAATGCATCATCATCTGTGGAGATAATGTTCACTGTGCATCTTTCCGTCTGAACAAATATTACTGTTTTGATTTTTCTATCCTGGTTCCACTCTGCAGTCTGGAAGCCTGCTAGACTTTTATGTGTGTGTGTGTGGGTGTGTGCATGCATGTGTGTGTGTTGGGAGGAATGACGTTGCACCAGTGTGCATCGCCTCTATTTTTAGCTCTCCACATCTAAGAGGCAGGAGGTGCCAAGTGGAGCAGCAAACCCAGAGATTCACAGTGAGAAGCAGCAGATCTCCATATCAAAACAAGGTTTTTTTTTATGAAAGAAAAAGAAAAGGGTAAAGGAAAAATAAAATCCTTCATTCGGAGGCACACACAAGCTGTTTTAAAAAACAATAGGACTAAAGTGTCTTTTATTTAATAACAGGATATCTCCCAGTTACACTTTAATTGATGTCCCATGTTTCCATAACTCCACGTTTCATGTCACTTTTTCACTTTTCATGACATTAAGTAATCCAGAGGCAGTTTCCAAACAAATGTACCTGAATATAAGAAAGTCTGCAAACGGAATGCGAATGTAGGCATAATTCAATGTGAGACGTTTGTTTAACTGAACGTACAGATGGAGGTGCTAATAGAGGTGAACAAAATGTCCTATTTATATTAAAAAAAGAACAGTGAAACCACAAAAGATGGAAGGACATGTAGCAAACAGGATGAAAAATTGCATTTCTGTTTGCTTAATGCATACTCAGAGAAAGGTTACGTTCTCATCATTGCACCACAAAGATGTGTTGATATTCTTTAGTTGTAAAGTGGAGCAGAAACGTGTGCACTTTTAAAGGGGACATATTATGAAAAATCCACTTCTACAGTGTTTTAGAACATATATTTGGGTAACCTGAGTGTCTACCGACCTGCAAAATGTGAAATAAACCCATCCAGTCCTTTGTTTGTGGTCTGCATAAGTCTTACAACACAGAGAAAAAAGCTCAGTTTGAAATTTGCTCTTTGTGACATCAGTGGGATTCTGGTAAAAAAAAATTCCCCTCCCCTCCCCTGGTATCTCCACCCATGGACTTCACCCCCCGCCTCGAGCAAAACTTTTGCACAGGTCCGCAAAACCTGGGGGGGGGGGGGTAGGTCATTGCATTTAAAGAGACATACACCAAAACGGAGCGTTCTGAGAGAGCTGGTTTATACAGGGTCACAAACCTCCTCTCGTGCTTGATTCATGTTCTATTTTGACCAAAGCACAGCACAGATGTTTCATTTAGACCACAGGCCAATATGTCCTCTTTAATTTAAACAAAAGAGCGTTGCTTATAGAGCCATATGAGCTCTCAAGTAATCCTTTTTAAATCTTTTTACAGGTTTTCTATTTATCACAGTTTGAAACATGGTTATCGAGCATTAGAAATTATAAAACATTGATCTGTGAAATGATCCAGGTAGAGTTGCTTGAGGGCTTATTGCAGACTAGCTTCAATGCAAAAGTACAAACTATCACATTGTATCTTGTCTCTAAGTAAGTGTGAAACAAACTCTTAAGTGTATCTGTTTGCTTCCCAATATGCTGCAGGTTTGTGGCAATGAATGTGATGCGTCTGAAGCGCTTGGGGATCACGCACATCCTGAACGCAGCAGAAGGAAACTCGTTCATGCACGTCAACACCAACGCCGAGTGGTACGCCGGCACGGGTATCATCTACCACGGAGTAGCAGCCAGCGACACGGACCACTTCGACATCAGCGTTTACTTTGAGGAGGCTGCAGACTTCATTGAAAAGGCCATGGCTTACAAGAACGGAAAAGGTCAGAGGATAGCGGATATAACTGAAGCTGAATTCTTATTTGTTTCTCCCTTTGTAAATGATTTCCTTTTTGATTTCCTGGTTCTGATTTTTAGACCCAGAATAGTGAACAATACTCCAAAATGTAAGTGTGCATACAAATAAAATAAAAAAAACTAGCGGGAGCTCCTTATAGCCATGCATCATTTTCAATAAAATGCAATAATATATGCCTTGCAGTTTGGGGGTTCTCAACCCACCCCCTTTTAACTCCCTCCTCAAGAATTGAATTAAAGATCACACTTCTTTTCAACCAGTTTAAATAAGTCTCAGAGGTCTCCAAAACATCTCTATGAAGTTTCTTGTTAGAAATCCACTCTGGTCCTGTATTTGATAATAATAATAATAATAATAATAATAATTTCATAATATGTGACCTTTAATTAAAAAAAAAACAAAAAAACAATTTTCTAATGTAACAAAATATGAGCTTAACCCTAACTCATGACATACTTCTTTTTGATTTTTTGTTTAATATTTACAGTCTATGGTTTTTTCACTCTTAATACTCGGGTACTTCCTGTTGATCACTCAGTCATTTAACTATTTCAACTCTCCTTTATGTAACTTATACAGTAGTTTCTTTTTTCCCTTGTTTTTGTTTTTTTGTGTTTGTTATTTTTTCTGTACAGCACTTTCTTTGCACAATGAGAATATTTTTTAATAGGCCTCTAGAATGCAGAATGCAATTGGGACATGGATGTTGGCTTTTCTAATCAATAGACACAGTCTTCTAATGTTTAAGATCAATATTGAGGCTGCACTCTTTGATGGTTTTATAAACACAAATTATCTATTTATTTATTCTTTAGGCAAAGACATTTCTAGTCTGTTAAACCTTTTTTTTTTTATATCAAACATAAATACATGTCCTACTGAACTTACAAGTAAGATTTCCCATACTACTGTTGTTGGTTCGATCAAAGTAAAACTTGCTTTCCTTCCTCCTGCAGGTAAAGTGTACGTTCATTGCAGGGAAGGCTACAGTCGATCACCCAGCTTAGTCATAGCTTACCTGATGCTTCGCCAAAACATGGACGTTCACACCGCTCTGGCCATGGTGCGGCAGAAGAGAGAGATCGGACCCAACGACGGCTTCCTGCGGCAGCTCTGTCTGCTGAACCAGAGGCTGGCTGCTGAGGGAAAGTTCTGGAACAAATGAAGCCGATCCAAGAAGCAGATAGACAAGTCTGTTATTGAGAACAAAAGTATGTGTTCATTGCACATCACTTTCTTTCACTTGTTCTACAACTTAAACAAGCCGCACATCTGTGAGGGAATGTTCTGGAAGTGAGGGTAGAAGACAGTGAAACACATTTCAAGGCTGACAGCATTGAGTGTATGTTTGAAACAAAATAGTAGGTCTCACACAGAAACTTAAGAAATGTATTTATAGCCTTTTAATTGTGCTTCATCCAACACTGGTGATGTGCTGATCATATAATGTAATGTGTAAATCCAGGTGCACAAAAATGTGACATACAGACACTTTAATTATATTCCAAATACTAGATTTATAAGCAATGTTCTGTATAGTTACTGTGTTTTAATTAATCCAGGAGACACAATCTACATTTCAGAGGTTTGTTAGTATGTATGTAAAGACACTCATTGTGGGAACTGGTGAGAAAAAAAGATGGTGGAACTTTCTGTCTATCGCCTCTTAATATTCAGCCTGTCTTCCCTCCATCTCCATCTCCTCTCGTCCTGGCAATGTTGTCTTTGTCTTAGCCTCACTCCTGCACACACTGCCAAATCTCTCTGTCCCAGCCAGATATCTAGTGGACACTGTGATTTCTTCTCATATTGAACCAGATTTTCAGGATAGTACAGGATGATAAGGAGATATTTTTGTCTAGTATGTCTAGTGTAAAAAAAAACAACTTCTGAATCTTTTATCTTCACTGCCTAAAACCTGCCTAAAAATGTAACATGTTGTTATGTTGCTTTATAGGAACTTATGATATTTTACGCAGCAGAGTGCATTAAATTAAAGATAGTTCAATGACACTGGTCAGACATTATTGGAGAAAAATAGAGGAACAGCTCTGCATTTTGGGAAATGTATTATTTAATACTTGCACGCTGAGTTTGGTAAGAAGTCTATGTTTGTCACTCAAACACTGCCAAGATTGTGATAAAGCTTTGCCACTTATGTTATTGGATAACTTCTTAATCAAACTTTTTACACTGTAACGTGTTTACATTTGTGTGTCAGAGTATATTAATTTTTCTATTGTGCAGCAGCATGCTATTTAATGTATGTTTGACTGAAAGTGTTTTTTTTCAACACACATAGTATGTAGCTATGTACAATGCAGAGTCACAGTGTGCATTATTGTGTGTGCATCGTTTATCACTATGTGCATTATAAGGCCTGTAACTTGTGAATCATCATGTGCATTACCTAGGTAGGATGTGATGTGATTGGTCATGTCAGTCGGCTCTCATTAAGTCTCAGGTTATGAGACTGCTTTTATGAAGTGCACTTTATCCAATGACACTTGGGATTGTTGTTGCTCTCTCTTTTCACATGTTAAGTAATAAACTGAAAAGAACGTGGTACATTTTCTTTTTTTGGGGATCTTTGATTGGGGAGATGACATTCAGCGCACACTGATTTTTTTTGTCAGAAGATGACTGTCATATATCCTATCCGTTGTAAATTTAAAAAAAAAAAAAATCAGTAGGTCACACTTAGGGGTTTAAAGAGTTTAAACTAAATTAAAATGCAGAAAGCTGTAGCTACAAAAAAAAACACAAGTTGAGGAACAGGGCAGCTGAGAGGTAAGAAATCTGCTAAGCTAGGCTAGTTTTATATCATATAGCATTTTTCGATTATCCCAAAATGAATTCTTCTTTAAAGCTCCTGTGAGGAGTTTTTGACTGGTCATGGGAAAACATGATATTTATAAAGATGTCCCTATGTGACCTTCAAAAGCAAATAAGACCAGAATTGACAAGATTGACTATTTCTGTATTTGTTAATGCCTGAAAGTACTGCGACAGGGTAGGTGCCAGACTAATTGACTTACTGCCAAATATTTACAGTGAGTAATATGTTTGGCTGTTAAAAAAGCAGGAAGGGAATTTGTGTTTCAAATACAGATACATGTACAGGACCATATCAGAAAATAGATATTAGGTACAAGTGTTCCCAGGTGTCTCTAAAATCAACACAGTATGAAAGTTCCTCACAGTAGCTTTGAGGATAAACAAGCCTACCCAAATGTTCCATTCTTTGATTATGTTTCAAGAATAGTTCACAGCTAGGTGCGAAAGGATAATATAGCTTTCATTAAGGCTTTCAGGGACTCTCTCAAGCAAAGTCAAGTCGAGCTTTCAGGCCATGTAACTTCAGAAATGGTCATTTTGGTTTGGCTTGCTCTCTAAGACTCAACCCACTCAAAGACTCAGATACATGAGAGCCGGGTAAATGTAGAAGCTTACTTTTTCTTTTGGTAGTTACTGACAAAATAAAGGTTCTACACAAGGAGGCAGTCTGAGAAATCATACAAATCCAAAAGCAAACGGGCAAAAAGGACAGCAAACAGTTTTTTCACCATAAGTCTCTCTGAACAGACATGCTTTCAACTGATTTCTGAAGTAGTCATCACAGTCAGGAGACTGTCAAGGGTGTGGAGTGTACTTGTCCTACATTTAGTGTGAGTAGATAGGAGCTGGTTAGTAACCTCTGTGTCCTGTAGAGGGCGCAGTAGGACGACTGTTGAAGGGTGATGACTTCAAAGTACATGTTCCCTTCCAAAAGCTTTTTTTTTTTTTTTTAAATTGATGTAACCTTGAATGAGTCTAACTTACACTACGCATTAGAAACACAAGACTTATACTGGATTGTTTTTGTACTCACAGTAATCTCTGTAAATCACAAAACAATGTGCTCTGATGGAACATTGTCAAGTGTGACATCATGATAACCCTTTTAGAACATCGTCAAACATCCTGTGACAGATGTAACTATATTTCTTAGTATAAGAAAACACGGCTGAACAAATTGTTTTCCAAAGTTTAAAAGCTAAGATTTTTTACATACACATTCATACTTTCATGTCTCTTCACCTCTGTGTCTCCATGTGTCCCTCTCTTTATCTCTGTCCTCGTGTGACACATGCAGTTGACACAAGGCCATGTCTGTCAGGAGAGGAGAGTAACTCTCTTACATAACACCAGTCTGCATCAATGAACCCCTTAGGGTGGGGGAGCCATGTGTTTTCTAGTGAGTCTATGTGATTGAGTCAGTGCAGGTGGAAGTGTGTATGGAAGCATGACTGCAACATGTTGATCCTCGGTACATGAGAGCATTTGTGTCCAAACATTTGGATCCACTTTTAGGCACTAAACCTAACATATCTGAATACACCAGGTTACATTGTGGCAAAATGGAAATAAAATGATAAACAAAGCATCCAGAAAAAAGTCAAAATGATGCTGAGGGGCTGTCATAAAACATGAAGCAATGGATTTAAACATTAATATATAAAAAGTGCAAACTTCATATGCCTTAAATTCAAATCAGGAACAAGTTAACGCAAATTATACGTGATAGTTTCAGAATGTGGATGCTAGAATCTGAACATCCACAATTTGTGTCAGGAAGGGGGGGGGGGGGGAATTGGGGCGCAGGTGTGGACCCAGGGGTGTCTTAAAGTTATCCCAAAAGAATAACCACACAATCGCAATAGTGATAGATTGGAAAGGGGAAAAACAACTAAACTGTATAGAGCCACAACAGGCTTCCTAAATGAAAAAATGCACCGAAAATGATTAACTAAATCACTGCTGTCGAGCAGCGGCACCCCAAGTTATACTATGAGACAGGCCATGGAAATCTAATACACAAAGTTCTTGGTTGGTGTTTAAAGATACACACAAACAACTCGAGAAACCGCAGGGAGAACCTTTCATGAGTCAGAGTAGAACACTGGAGACTCACAGTATATAAAAACTCCCCACACCACATGAGCTTAATCAAAGCCAATCAGTGCCACACACACCTGACTGCAGTGAGTTGATTCTCTCTCTCTCTCACTGTGCAGGAAGAGTGAGTGCCCTCACACTTTTAGCTTATTTGCTAAATCCTCTATTTGTAGCATGTTAGCTTGCTGATATTCCTTTTTGTTATTTTTTAAATGTACACTATTGATCCCAGAGGGGAAATTCAGGTTTACATTCTATTATTAACACGCTTGCTACCCCGCAAAATACACACATGCACAAACAGAACATGTGGACATGCATTAATGTCCGAGTGAGGCTACACAGGGAGCCCGTCAGAGATTTTGGGGTTTCGGTGCCTTGCACATGGGCAGTTCTGTGGAAGTGACCTGGCACCTCTCCAACAACCAGACCAACTTCCATACTTTGGTATCCTTACAGACTGAGCTACTGCTCAGTAGTACACACAGCTGTGGTTGGCAGAAACGTTGTACTTTTTCAAAGGTTTTTGGCTGCTCCTTTCTCTCTTAGTACTGTTCTTTCACAGGAATAGCAGTTGACAGGATGACTCTGCAACAGCTAGCATGGCTAGTAGGCATAAGTAGGCTATGAATGATGTGCTGAAATGTGATGTTGCTTTTTTTCTTGTTGTTTCTGCCTTAGACTTATTCGTGTAGATTTGAATTGGTGTTTTGAATAAAGGGTCCAGTTTGTGAAGGCTCTATATCCTGTCTGGAAACAGTGATTCCTGAGATGTACCCTCTGACCCTGACTTCAATGTTACTCTAGAGATATAGAGTTGCTGGTGGGGGGATTTAAGATGAGCCTATCTGCAGTTGACAATAGCATCAGATCTGTCATATAAACAAGCGTCAGGCTTCTTGTCATTGTTTTGTTATCTTTGTTGCTTTGGGAATACGCAAATTCCCCAAAATGTAAAGCTGTTCCACAGAACGGAAACAAGAGGAGTTAACAACAAGCTCATGGTTAAATATTAATAACAATAACAGTAAATAATCCCACAATGTGGACGCAACTTCATAAAATACATATTGAAGCTAATGTTTTTTTATTTATTTTTTAAACCATCCCTAAGCATGTTGAATTTTCTTTATATAATCAAATCATTCACGCATTTATGAATCTTATGTAAGCATGTGCATGACCTGAGCACGTGCCTTTCTCCAAATTTGCAAAAGAGATCAAATTTATGAGCAATGTCAGTGAATACGAGCATCATTACATTACACTGGTCTATTTTTAGAGCTGTGCTGAGTGCACTTTCATTTGGTTTCATTTGGTTGCAGATCTGAGGGGAAAAATCTACAACTGTACAACTGATGATTCATGTCACATTGATGACTATCAATTTGTGTCTGTGTTTCTCTCTCTCTCTCTCTCTCTCTCACACACACACACACACACACACACACACACACACACACACACACACATACACAGACACACACCCACACACACCCACACACCATGCCAGTCTGTACCAGCTGTGCCCTCTCGTGTCTTTGGGGGGTTGGGTGGGTGTGGGTGTTCTAGGAAGGATTGGTGGAGAGCAAAGCAGCTCAATGTTACATCATCCTCTCTATGACAACCCTTAAACACATTTGATACGGGGTGGCTTTAATGAGTCTCAGAGTTCTTAATTATTTAGTAGTCTGTTTCCAAATTAAGAAGAAGTGCCCTGTAGATAACCCACGACTCAAAATGTTCAAGCACAGTATCATCATCGGGAGTGCTCCTTTCAACAATGCTTTTCATTTCCATAAAGATGCACTTAATCAAATACAATGACAACTTTGGGAATTTGCGTTTACCGTTTGAGTTCCTGTGAAATCAAAAAAAGTGAATTTGAATGTCCTGTGGTGATTGTTTCCTATTAAGCTAAGGACATTGTTAGTGAGCTCAGCTGGGCGGGGACAAAAAAATCTGTCTCGTCCGTGGCCCAGACCCCCACGTCAATCAATCACACACCACCCAGCCTCGTGACCGCATCTGAAGTCACTTAAAGGAAGATGACACAGACATTAGTGACTTTGATTGTGTAATAACTGTCAGGCCTGCAAAACAATATAAAATATCATGCGTGTTTGTGTGTGAGGACCGACTGGATGTTCTTTTCTCTAATGCAGTCTGTGGATTTAAAAAAACAAAACATTATTGTAATGTATTTATTAGAGACACACACACACACACACACACAAACAGACATACAGACAAACAGACAGACAGACAGTCAGACACACACACACACACACAGACAGACAGACAGACACACATACAAACAGACAGACAGTCAGACACACACACACACAGACAGACAGACAGACACACATACAAACAGACAGACAGTCAGACACACACACACACACACACAGACACACACACAGACAGACAGACACACACACACACACACACACACACACACACACACACACACACACACACACACACAGCTGAGGCTCAGTTGGTAGAGTCAATCAACTCTCAACCCGAAGGTTGGGGTTGTTTCGATCCCCAGCTCCTGCAGCCTTCATGTCAGATGAGTTAACTCCAAGTTGCTCCCACTGATTCGTAGGCAGCGCATGAATGGGA